AAGGGGTCCCCAGTGAGAATCGATCTCACTAGCCAGTCATAATTGATCTACCGAGACATGCTTGCTGACCATTACACCACGTTGAAGTGTCCAAAGTGGTATATGAGATATTTAATTATTACATTATGTGAATGCCCAACAGAACATTTTATTTCCTCGGCGAAAATAAAACATTTTTTCAAATATTTGTTAAACTAGGCACAGATATACAAATCAACTTGATCGATAATAAGGGGTGGCGTGAAACGTTTTTACTTACAGTTATAATCGTTAAAGATGTAAAGATCATATTCATTAAAAATTCCTTTTTTTTTTATTTTGTATTCGGCTGTGCGGAAAACCTGCCAGCATCTCTCTTTAAACCTCTCAGTTTATTGCTTGTTAATATTAAACAACTTACAAAATGCAACCCGTCCTGGGTATGAAGATAAACTACATCCACGTCCTGGGTAAGACGATAAACTACGTCCAACAGCAAAGCGTCTGATAAGGAGGTTTTTAGAAGCGTGGAACCACCCGTTTATTGATGGTGTTCCTAGGTCAACCCTGATCCAGGTGGTAGCACCTGCTAGGGTCCAAGTTTGGGGTAAATAGCTAACCCCCAAACTATGGTCAAAACACTATGAAAGTGTAAAAATAGATTTTAATACCAGAAATAATTTGTGAATAAATTATTACCAGCAAAAACATTTTCAAGAAAAATTATTACCAGCAATATATTTTTGAAGAAAAATTATTGCCAGCAATATATGATTACCAGCAATACATGTTAAAAAGACCAAATAATTTACTAGTAATACAATTTTGAAAAAAAAATTCGTTGGCATTAATTAGCCCATTGAATTTGATATGCCATAAGACAAACCAAACCAAACCAAATCAAACCAAACCAAACCAAAATGCCCCTTCGAATCTGCATCACAAATCTAAACATATACATTTCCTTATATACTGTTTTCTGTTCAAAATTTAATTCCAGATTTGCTTTGGAATTTCGAAGATAAATAATAGATAAAAAAAAATCAATGGAACGTTTCTGGGTTGATGTAAAATTACGGGCGTCATTAAGCATAGATGTAATTATCTCGAGTAAATGCGTTTTATTGTGAAATAATGTGTTAGTAATATAATTGATTATTCGCTCAAGATACTGAAATGTTCGTATTCAAAAGTTTAAACGGTACATGTATTTATCATTGTAATTTCCTTCGAGTGTAATCATAGGAATATTTTGCATGATAATATAGTAACCACTTTCACCATAAAAGTCACAAAAGAAACCCATTCTAGCTGAAAAGCGAGGCTCTACGTTGTTCTACATCCTAGTATATTTCTTATTTCATGAGGTGCGTTTTATGCAGACAGAATTTTGTAATCAGTTTTTCTTTATACAGAAACTGCAGAAAATGTTAAAAAAAATTAAACTATTGAAAATACTTTTTCGTTATAAACTTCATTTTTAACAGAGAAATGATGAGATGCAAATAAAAAAAAATAACCTCGAGACGTTTTTTTTTTTTCATTTTTGTAGATGCAAATATATAAAATAGAGAAAATATACACTGAGGGAAATTTTCAAAACAATAAGAAAAATTGAAATGTAAAAAGATGTCTCAATTTTCGACGGAACCATACAATCTTTTTAAAAAACTTTGAATTATCTATTTTTTACGATGTTTGCTGTAAATTATGTCACGTAAATCTTTAATCTAGTATTCGTGTAAGGGAGACGAATATATTTTCAATATTTAAATCTATATACGTGTGCCTCTTCAACTAAATTTTCCTTTTCTCAGTAACTTTATATATATATATATATATATATATATATATATATATATATATATATATATATATATATATATATGTATGCATAAATGTATCTATGTACATATATATATATATATATATATATATATATATATATATATATATATATATATATAAGTATATATATATATATATGCATATATATATATATATATATATATATATATATATATATATATATATATATATGAGTATATATAGACACACATATATATATATATATATATATATATATATGTAAATATAGATATAGAGAGAGAAAATGAGCATGAGAAAGAGAATGTGCAACGTAATTAATGTAAAGATACTGTAAAGAAAAACTTATAGTCGATAGAAAAATGTGCATATTTTCAAACATTATACATATGTTTAATTTTAAAATATTTTTCTCTAAAACCTACATCAATTTCCATGACACGGAAGATTGATGCGTCAGTATAGAACACAGGATGGAAAAAAGTGAAATGTTTGTTTATGGCATATTTTATAAACAAAAATTCGGTTTACCGATGGCGTCTACTCTCAGTAGTGTTTAAGCTTGCTTCTTCCAAGAATTCTTAGAATCCGCACAATTTAAACATATCATACTTAACGTCTCTACTTACCTAAGATACATTGATGACGACATCTTATTTTATCCCAAAGACGTAACGATTAAACGTAGGTGCTAAACTCAGTAAGTTTGAACCTACCATCGAATTCTCACACGAATTTGAAACAAATCAATCCTCTAAATTTTCTTGATATCCTATTAATACGTAACGATAATAAATTAGATTTTAAAGATTGCCGATAACCTACTAACAAAAATGAACTTATCAATTTCTATTCCCCCCACTACCAGAAAATAGAAGCAGAAATATATATAGGATTTTACCTTAGAGCCTTTATGTTATGCAGTCCAGAATACTTTAGTGAAGAAGAGGTTTATATTAAGAACGAATTCAAATTTCTACACTACCTATGAGTGTTTAATTTATAATAAAAAAAATGATTCACAAAATCCATAAAACGAAGCAAACAAATACTTCGAACAAAAATGATACAAAATTCATAATTCTGCTCTTCAACACTTCAAGTCAACTGGCAAAGGAATTATCTATCCTTAATATGAGAATCATTAGAACCACCTCCAACACTATCGGAGATATAATCAGTAGGAAAAATAAAAACAAGAGCAAGTGAAATGCCGGAGCTTATCAAATAAAATGTCTCCAGTGTTATAACATACATTGCAGAGACATCGAGTGATCTAAAAACCCGCATCCAGGAACACAAAAGAGAATTGCGATTAGACAAACATTCAAATTCTCTGAAATTACACCACAACAACGTATGGCATACATTTAATTTCACCAGTGCCAGTCTTATTAAAAAGTGCATAACCCTTTAAAGAGTAAATATTATGAAAATATATGTATAGCCATACTTTCAACTATGAGCACACGATTAAAAAACTACATTATGTCACCTATGTATTTGTATGAAAATAGTCAATCTGGGAAATTAGTATCGAATGAAATTATAATCATCATGAAATCTTAAAGTTGTCTGTTTCTTAATAGTAATGAATATTTTTTGTGTTTTTACATTGGGCTCTCTAGATTATATACTCCTTGCAATTAACCATCCATAATACCAAGCACATCATTAGCTATATATATATATATATATATATATATATATATATATATATATAAAAGAAAGAGGTTATAGTAATTCCAACGAGAGAAAAGTTGTATATTAAAAAGAAGAGAGAAAACCGCAAATGTTTTTTGGTTGTAACGTGGATTGCTTTTTAAATTTTATGTAAAATTATGGAAAATAAAGCATAATATTTTTTTTAAAATCATTACAACAAAACGTTTGGTGGATTCTTATATATATATATATATATATATATATATATATATATATATATATATATAATATATATATATATTTCAAAATTGAACAATTAAACTCAGGATCTATATGTAGTTTTTTAGACGATGCAAATGTTTTTAGAGATCAATTTAATTTCCATAATGATCCGAAGTATTACTTATGATAATATATTATCTGGAAAACGCATAAATAACATATCAGCAGATGTAATAGTTAAACACTAAACTCATAGATGCTCTGCTAAAATTGAGAAACACGATTTTGATTGGTTCATCACGAAATAAAGACAATAAAACATCTCTCCTTTCACAGTCACTTTCCCACCGCCGTGATATGACTTTAGCGTATATTTTCGATAAATATTTCCATGTCTCTTGTTATAATGGTATCTCGACACCGTGAATGGATGCGTACTGCTAGAATTTTTACTAGATTTCATCATTTGACTTTTGAAATACGTAGATGTATCCCTATGTTCTATTCTGATATGTGTCATTCTTGTTGATGGAATTGGTATTGCGGTCTGTATGTGTACAAACGCGTTTCCATTGCGTGTGTACACATAATGAATGAGCAACGAGTATAAAACTATGTATTAAATGACATGATAATGAATTTTAACCAGTAAAGACAAATGAAAAAAATAAAACTTGTAATTCCAATGAATGATTCATTTTTATGGAAATATTTCGGCTAGCAATTGCTAGTCTTGGTCATTCCTTAATTTGAGTAAAAAAGTACAAAGAAGTTCGAAACGCTTAAGAATTTAAATCAAGGAAAACAAATCGAGTTGATGACGTTTACAACGTAATAGCAAATCGAGGCATAATTTTTTTTTCCCATATCATATTTTTCTTTGGAGCAGAGATGTCCAGACATGATGGTGTTGTGCTGCATCTATCTTATTGCAGGCATTTTTTTGTAATTGCTCTTACCATTTGTTCAATTTTATGCCTCGACTTGTTATTACGTTGTAAACGCCAACTTGGTTTGTTTTCTTTGATTTAAATTCTTAAGCGTTTCGAACTTAATTCCACTGTTTTTACTCAAATTAACGATTAACCAAGTGTAGCAACTGCTAGTCGAAATATTTCCATAAAAAATAAATCATTGGTTGGAATTACAAGTTTTTTTTTTTTTTTTTTACTTTTATTCATGCACCGACCAACGGAGACAAACATCCTCAATTTGAGTAAAGATAAATTTAGAAACAGGCTTATTAAATTTATATTAAACGAGTTAAATATTTAAGAAAGTATGATTATTAGGCTAGATGAGCATGTTTATGCATGTAGATTTGTATGAATAGATAGATAGATAGATAGATAGATAGATAGATAGATAGATAGATAGATAGATAGATAGATGACGGAATAATGGCTGTTAGAGATAGATAGATAGATAGATAGATAGATAGATAGATAGATAGATAGATAGATAGATGACGGAATAATGGCTGTTAGAGATAGATAGATAGATAGATAGATAGATAGATAGATAGATAGATAGATAGATAGATAGAGTGAATTTATAGAGATAATGAAGACAGTCAGAGAGAGGACGAATATTTCTATGTAAATTTCTCGGACATTCAGGTCGGTAAATGTTGTTAATACTTTTTATTATAAACTGATCATTTACTTAAAAATTTGTATCTACAAAAAGAATGTATAAACATAAAAATGTATTAAAATAATTCTCGGACTTTGTCCATTTCATAATGTGGGACGTCATAAAAACACACACACACACATACGCATATATATATATATATATATATATATATAGATAGATAGATAGATAGATAGATAGATAGATAGATAGATCTTAGAAAGGGGTGTTGCATTTATGTTTCTCGATTGTATTCATCCAGCCTCTATAATCACATCAATAAATTCTCGTTTTTAATCTCATTAGTGTGGAGTATGAACCTAATTATAAAGATCATACTCATAACATCTGAATTTCAATTTTAAATATAATATAGCAACAATTAAGATTTTATCCGTTGAATAAAGACTAAACGACGATAAAATGGATTGATTTATGAGCACAACTGATGATCAACTGTTTGATACATTTGAACATATTCTTCATGAATCATTATAATTCATTTTCTCTGAAAATCTGATATAAGAAATCGTATCAAGGTCAATATAGCGAGTCTTTACAAGGCTCGAAATTCCTTTAGTAAAGGCGTGTGGAAATTGCGTGTTAATCCCAACACTGGGGCAGTTGCTCTAGAAGCTTTAATGAAAAATCTTATTTGCCAGATTCAAAGATCACATGAAATATTCATTAATGATGAAAGCTTAAAATATTTATTAATATCTCATTATTAATAATTTTTTTTTCTGAAAAGGCAAGGTGATGAAAGGCATGATAAATGATGTCGCTAATGAACAGCACATTTAGGGGTATCTATGTTTTCTTTTATAATCTTCTAATGAATCTTATAAAATAAATAAGATTATATTGACTGATGGGGAAAAATGCAAGCGGTGGAATAACCCAATGCTAAACAAAATTTAAGGAAATTACGTTACGATACGGATGTCAAAAGATTAGTTTAGATTCTTCCGGTATTCATGCGGAAAATGCCGAGTAGATTGGAAAATTACCTTTTCTGCATTCACGGCTTGATGCGGATTCTAATATGTGTATTCATTTAAAGAAGCTGTCTCCTGGCACACACACGCAATAAATGCATACGCTCAAAGTAGACAGAAAAGGCAGATAGATAGATAGACAGATAGATAGATAGATAGATAGATATGAAGGGCCTATGATAGCGTTCTATGTAATTCCTTATATGAATATAAGTATATTACGGCCAATTAAGAACAGAAATATAAATATACAACAACAATCTGAGATATAAAAATGGGGTGTTTTTAATATATTTACGGGTCTTGTTGGTGGCGATGGTGCGGTGGTGAGAATGTTTGCACGTGCCTCTCTTTTTGTACGTACAGTTTATAAGCAATGTGTATAAAAAGCGAGGTCAGATAAAACGTCAAGGAAGTTAATATCTTTCACTGATGAAAAAGTGAAAAGAATTTTGTAAAATTTTCAATTTAGTGTAGATTTAGTAAGGTAAACATGGGCATTAGAATGTATATAAATATTGGTTGGCATAAAATGAATGAGATAGACAGATAGATAGATAGATAGATAGAGAGAGAGAGAGAGAGAGAGAGAGATAGATAGATAGATAGTCAAAGAAACTGTTCAATTTGATTTGTTGAAACTTTCACTTTATCTTCTATTGATGTTTCTTTCGGTATCTGTATTTCAAAACTTGCATACGTGCATATATATATATATATATATATATATATATATATATATATATATATATATATATATATATAGAAAGAGATTGATAGACAGATAGATATTAATAGAGACAGTGTTGAAATGATACTAATAATTAATAACACAAAGAAAGAAAGAATTGAGAAACGAAAAATAATAACAGATAAAGTAAACTTTAACATGTCCGTAGGAGGAAACGAAAAGGTGTTAAAAGTAGAAATAAAATCTATCCACAGATAAGAAAGTGACATTCCTCACAATAACCATGCTGATAGCGAACTTATCTATTACACGTTAAAAACCAAGTTCTGTCTGCCTCCCGAATTGTTTGTATTATTTCGACTTTTCTTTTTTTTTTTTTTTTTACTCTATTAACTTCACATCCGTGTAGTTTCTTTCTCGCTCTTTGTTTTTCTGCTTAATTCAACCGGAAGTTGCTGGAAATAAATTATTGCTTATAATCATGAAGAGAATACAGTTTCCGGTTGGCCAGCTGCAACTAAATAAGAATCGAGTAAACATGGGATTTGCACTCAAAATATCTTTTATTATTTAAATGGGGAAAAAAATAGTTCAGTTCTTTGGCAGAGGTGAAAAGAAAAGGTAAAACCCAGTTTATATATATATATATATATATATATATATATATATATATATATATGTGTGTGTGTGTGTGTGTGTGTGTGTGTGTGTGTGTGTGTGCGCGTGTGTATTTGTGTTTGTGTGTGTGTGTTTACTAATTTTATATACATCCAAGGAAGAAGAGCCACTCAAGGTAGAGTCACGGTCTTTGGTGTTGTATGAGCGAGAGGCAAGAGAAGTGCAGTTTATGAGATTATGTAAGATAACTGTTAACATTAGACTTGAAGATGTAAAGATTGTAGTGATAGGGAAAACATCCTTCCCTGAGTCTGTATCACAAATCAGCATTGCTTCAGAAGAATATGTCCGAGTTGAACTTACTTCTTATCTAATGAAAACATGGTTATGTGGCATGGCAAAGATCACGGTAGGTGGAACGAAGATGTGTTGCTCCTCAGAAGATTTGCGATGGAAATAGCAATAGATTAGAGAGAGACTTGCGATGTTTCGCCTGTGGCACAATGGTGGGCGGCAGATAATTCCTCACGCATAATGACGTTTTTTAACTCTATGAAGACAGGCAAATGAAGAATAGGCAGCTCGAGTGCAGATATGGCAACAATACTTAACATTTGGTCTGGGCAGACGCTTGATTCCCAATAAGAGTTCAAGACAAATGGCTTCTTTGGGAAAGCATCCGTTCGTTGCGATAAGACGAAGATTCAAAGTCTGTTCTATTATGGTGGAACGTTGCTAGCTTGATTTGGATGAAATTGAATTTTACAAGTGGGCCCTTTGTCTTTGGATTCACCTAAGTCAGAAGAAAGACTATCTGCTAAGTTCCAGTCATCCAGGTTGGGAAGTTTCGCATATGAACTACGATGTCATCTGTATAAATATTTACTAAAGATCGGAGTAAGACATATCAAAATAAACTGTATAATTAATGTTTGTGTCAGTAATTAAAAAAAAAAAGAAAGAAAATAATTTTTTTTTTTTTTTTAGAAAATTCTGATCTTATTGAGATCATCGCCTTTATTAATTTTTCACATTTTATACTTAAAATATGTGCTATACCCCCAGCTTTTTAAGTTAATCCCGCTACTGTATAATCCGAAAAATTCCAGATCCCACATTTATTAAATGACTGCCATGAGTGCTTAAAAACGCGAACATTGATCCTTCGAATTTTGTCATTAATCTTACATAAAATTAAACGCAATTGATTTTTCTGTTTCTGCTTTACGCACCTTAGTATACACTTAAGAAGGCTATGAATACATCTATTCTGTTTACAACTATGAGCCTAATATCTGAGTAGACTATGATGTTATACTTAGTTGGAAAGCAGTCTAAGAAAAGAACAAGCTCTGAATTTAAAAAAAAAAAAAACGTTGTTGTTCTTACTGAAAAATGTTGGCCCGAGATAAAAAAAAAAAAAAAAAGAAGAAAAAGAAAAAAAAGAAAAATCTATATATCATTAATTAATTTACGTTAGTTGCGCAAACTGTCAGGAGACTATGATTTTGTTTTCCTGACGATGTTTTAGACGTAGTACTCGTTATGTCTTTATAGGCCTATTCGAGAATGACATTTCCTCTCATCTTTTCCTGAGACGACGTCTGATGATAATCTGTCTCTCAGAAATTGGAATTTCTTTCTTTGTCTTCTCTCCTCTGGCTGCTGGACAAATGTCACTTCGTACTTTTTGCATTGGATGTTCATTTGATATCTACAGCACCCCACCAAACTGATTTGATGTCTATGTTGATCGTGTATTTTTTTTTTTTTACTTTCAACATATATTTAAGCTGCATATAGAGCCCTATCTCTGATCAAATTAAACAAACAGTTGGACCGTGGACATTCCGCCGTCGTTCATTCGCATGATATGCCCGATTCAGTTCAAGCAAGTTTTTTTTTTTTGAAAGAGAGAGAGCATTTTTTGAGAGAGAGATAGAGAAAGAAAGAGAGAGAGAAAGAGAGCAATTTTTTTGAGAGAGAGATAGAGAGAGAAAAAGAGAAAGATCAATTTTTTTGAGAGAGAGAAAGAGAGAGAGATAGCGAGAGAAAGAGAGAGAGAAAGATAGAGAGAGCAATTTTGAGAGAGAGAGAGGGGGGAGGAGAGAGATGGAGAGAGAGAGAGAGTGAAGATGCTTGGAATAATATCCCCACACGAGAACAATAATTTTCGAGAAATTTTCTTGCAAAAATGTCTTCAGGATAGAAGAAAACTTTAGAAAACTTTTAACATAAGGATTAAAGGGAGGACATTATTACAATAATCTATTTAACTTTTTTCTTGGATGATGTTCTGCGCATGTCCAAGTACAGGCGGGGAGGGAGGAATGATCACCATTTAAGCATTCCATACCACGTCCCAACCAAAGTTGATCACGCTAGATAACTCGCAATCATCGAGAAATTAACAAAGGTCCGTTAGTTACAGTATGAAACAAAAGGGGGTGGGGGTGTTGGGATCCGTGAGTGGTGAACAAACACAAATGTGCCTAACCAGGCGTATACTTAGCCGACGGAATAGAATGAATGCTTAGATACCAGTCGCTGAACCTTTCACATTTAAATACAGCCAGTAAAATAATGATGCTGAGTATAAAACAAAAAAAAACCCCAAAAAACAAACAATTGTTTCTATCATTTGCTTCACGAAATTGCTTCAGATCTAGAATTGAAATGGGATCAATGATAGCACGTGCCATGAATCCATAAAAAATCAAGCTTTTGAATTAATAAATACCGTATTTTTCGCACTATAGTCCACACCTGTATATAACACGCAATCATTATAACTTCAACTATCTGGACATAACTGGTTCGACGCTGGCGACCGGTTTTTGTGAAGCTGTGTTCCTTTAACCCTAACCCAGGCCACTCAAGGTTCGAAGTCACAATTCATATATAATCCGCACTGTTATATAACCCGCATCCTACATATTTCAAGAAAAAGTCTAGGGTTATAGTCCGGAAAATACGGTAGTAATCAGATAAATCTATGTATTGATAAGTTTTGTTATGTCAAAAAAACACCCGTTGCCATTTTTGTAATGTCAACGAATACTCGTTGTCACTTTCGTAATGCTCGTTGTAGCAGAGACTTTGAAATCGCAGATAAAACTATAGTACGCCGTTGAACAATACCGGTGTCAGATGCCTTCGAATATCACTCGCAATATTAGTACTTGCTCGATAATACTCGCTCGAACAGTAATCCGCAGAAGAAATAGTATAGTGAATAGAGTAGAGAATAGCGGACCGTATAGTAATTGCGGATAGAATAGAAATGGCGATCCGAATAGTAATAGAAGATAGAGTAGAAATGATGATCTGTATAGCAATAGAGGATACAGGAGAAATAGCAATCCGAATAGTAATAGAGTAGAAATGGCGATCCGAATAGTAATACAGGATAGAGGAGAAATAGCGATACGCATGGTAATAGAGGATAGACTAGGAATAGCGATCGTTAGACTTTGGCTACTTCCTACATATACTACTCTATGGTCAGGTGGTCTACTTAATTCAATAATAGGATCGACTGTGTTTGCCCACTGGTGATCCATGTTCAAATCCAAGTGTCGGCAGTGACACTTTATTTCTATATAACAATATGTTATAACGAATTTTGTGTAAGAATAAGAAAATTAAATATGGAATACGCCGCGTTATGAATCCTTTCTCAAACCCAAACGAATCGCAAAACTAAAACCTTAAACTAAGACAGCGAGTCAATTACTTAAATAACCTCATCTTATCGAGAGTTGCATATAGTTCTGGAATATCTAAACTGTCATCTGTATACAACCGCTTTTTTTGGATCAAAGATTAAAAATGGCTCCGAGCGAATTAAGTTTGTAGGTCTTAAAAAATACCTTCCTTCTTCTAACCTCGAGTACTGGCGCTACTGAATCTCACAGAAGTGTAGAAGAACAGAAATCATATCACTTGAGATCATTCAGCAAACACAACAGAAGAGTCATACACTTTCTCTTGTCGTAGAGACTTGGTACATGAAATAAAGTTTAATGAATAGACCGTCGTTTGGTTTCATATCGTTAAAACTATATTTCCTTGAGAGAAACTGAAAAAAATATATATCCAACAGGCAAAATTCTGACGATCGTAAATCCGCGATAAAAAAGACGGTTGTCTGATCTTCAAAAACACGTGACATTGAAGTGTTTATTTTGTGATTCAATGAGAGCTTATTTACAATTGTTATCACATATATCCTAAAAAGCCGTGTACGAAACTTCACTTACAACTATTTCTATTAAATTTCCCCTCGACAGGAAAGAAATCACCTTTTATAGTAATAGATAAAAATTCACATTTTTCGACTGATAAAATGAAGTTGTTCAACTATCGAGTCTAACAGGCAAAGTCCCTCAGATTATAACTAGTATTGACGCGAATTATTTTTCCTTTCAAATTTACTTACATTATTTTTACTGGATTTTAAGCATTTACTGAAAAATTATTCAATTGTAGCGATTTTATATATATTTTCGGAACACTTTTAAATGTTTTAAGTGTAATATAAAGCAATAGTGATTTTTGTTTGAAGATCACGACAAAGCGAACATTACTTCCGTCTCTTGACCGGAAATGACAGTAACATGACCGGCGCCTAAAGGAAATGACGTCGGCTAGACAGCTGAGTTGAAACTCTGACTTAATCTGTTAAAATCTATCTGGTTTACACAGGTAAAATTACAGTCTTGGAATTCTGTCCTTGATTTAAGTATGTGTGCCAAATATCCATCCTCGTAGAATAAAACCACTTTTGGCAAGCGGTCACATAAATACGCCGCTTACACAGAACTTAACCTAAAAGGAATATGTTCCGAAAATATTATGGTAAATACTTAATAAATATATACATTGGCCATGATAATGACCATAAATATATACATTGGACATTTAATATGAACATTTCAAAGTAATAATATTTGATAATATTCATTATGAAAATTGTAAAGAACTTTAACAAATATGATAAATCATATCGGGCGAAGATGTCCGACCGAGCCAATAATAAATGAATATATCACATGTCATATAGAAGAGAAATTAATTGTAGAAACAATATGCTGACATTTCGCAACAACTTAAAAAAAATTGTTAAGAAGAAAAATGCATTCACTATTAGAAAGTGTCATGACAGTTAATGGAATAGAGAATCCTATTTTGCTGAAAAAATATTCTGAGAGAAAGTGTTTATAAATGGCAACCAACAATAACAATAAATACAGAATATTTCCTGAAAGTAAATAGGTAATCTCAACTTTACTATTAATAGTTTAAACTCTATAGAACTTGTAAATAAGCAACAAACACTATCAAGTATATGTTTTTATTTGCTAATTCGTAAATAAATCAATTGTGAAAATCTTTTGATTCTGCAAATGTTATCTTTTATTTTTTTACCAGACTTTTCTTCCTCCACAGCATATCAATGACAGTTAAATAAATTCTTCATTGAAATGATTGTCTACCTTATTGCACAGTTTTTCAGTTTGATATAAACGTATTAAAATATTATTTGTTCTGAAATATTTTTCCCTTTATTTAAACCTATAACTTCGCCAACTTTACAATGATCGTATAATATAAGACATACACGCAATATATAAATATATATATATATATATATATATATATATATATATATATATATATATATATATATACTTGTCGTTACTTCGACTAAGTTTCTGTGTTTAAGATTGTTATGTAATTTTTCTTGTATTCTTAATATTTTCCGGGACATATTTTACACAAAAATTGTCCAATTTTTTATATACACAAGCGCGTTCGGCTATACTTTTTTGTGCCATAACTTTGATACATAGAAAGTTTCGGACAATTTTTATAAAGTTTATATCCTAAAAAAAATCTTCAACCAACAGCCGAAAATTATGTAAAAAAAAAAATGACCACAGCACCTTGGTAGTCGTTTTTAACGAAGCTTGCATAAAAGAAGAATTGTTGACCAAATACATAATGTATTAATTTCTTGAAATTTCGGACGGACGGGACGTGTCAACTAGAACGCCAGTAATTATTATAACGTGAGTTTATACAGTTGAATTTACGTAAAATATAATCGATCAATGAAATTGAAAAAATACAAAGATAAAACTAATAGAATTTATTTCTTATTTTTCTCCGTATTTTTTTCTTTTGAAAGTATAAGAAAAATCAAACATGATAGATTGATAAACGTTTCATTTTTGTATTTTACTTATCATACACACACACACACACACACACACACACATATATATATATATATATATATATATATACATGAATTATTCACACAAAACTAATGCAAAGGTTAATGATTTAAATGGCGAGACATCCATCTCGCAAACAATTCAAATAGTACACAAAAACCTCCAGATCCGTTATGAATGAATTGATCCTTGTTTATATAAATTTCTGCCGTATTAGTTGTTATTTTTACTACAAGCTTTCGTCTGTTCCTACAGACATCTTCAGATATATAATATCATGGGGGTATGATAAGTAAGAGTACACACACACACACACACACACACACACACACACACACACACACATATATATATATATATATATATATATATATATATATAAAAGAAAGAACAGAAAGATATATAATCCGGTGTTCTTATTGATATTTTTTATCTTTACAAAATAGTGCTCAATGTAAGTTTACAGAGCATTAACATTGGTTTATACGTTATATATGGTTATTGGAAACACTACTAACTTTAAAATAGATAAAATTAGAAAGGTATTATAAAAAGAGAAATGAATTAGCTATTTTTTACCGTCATTGTCAAAAATTTTCCTGTAATAATATTTAAAAATAAAATTTGAAAGATATATAACCTGGTAATATACATACTTATACTTGATATGAGAAAATAATTTTATATACAGTAAGTAATTCTACTACATTTACTTGTTTTAAAAGATATATAGTCTATTAAAAAATTAAAAGTGAAAAATTTTAATGGAATAAAACGTATTCTAACCTAAACATCCCCAAAAATGTTTAAGTATACAAACAGAAAAAATGCCGTAATTTTTTTTTTTGCCGTTAACAATAATTTTAAAAAAAAAACCCTAACTACATGCATTTACCTATGTCAGAATTCGTGGAAAAATACATCCCTACCCTACCTAAACATTACCCCTTTTTCAAACGATACATAAATGATACAACAAAAGTTAATAAAAATGAACACGCTACCATCCCTTGTCTGAATGATTGGATCTCTCTGTATCCTTGGAAACACTGAAATATTAATTTTTCTGTGCCTTTAAAACTCAGTAAATTTAAAATTAGGTTACTTCAAAATTTGCTTCAGGATGAAAAGGAAATAATGTTTTTAATTTAAGTACAAAATTAAATTTGAAGCTTTTAGTTTCCCTTTTGAAACATGGTTATTATTGTGTAGCGAAAAACATATTTTAGATTTGTTAATTTATAATATATATATATATATATATATATATATATATATATATATATATATAGGGTCAGCGAGAAACCTTTATTATCATTTCCAAGGGTTTATTTTTAGTGGATACTAGCATTTGTATAGGGGCTCTTTTTACTATTAAACGGTATATTTATTTATTTATTTTCGGCTACCGGACATAATATTCAAGAAATCTCAATTAAAGGATAATTACGCTCTCTAGAATGGTTATAAATCGGCATACCTCGGGGCAAAGTTTTTTCTTTAATGAGATTTTGAGAAATAACTTTTACAATGATAAAAATTTGTCGGATCAATAAAGAGAAACATTATAAAACACACTGTGCCAATATGAAAGACTTTGAGAGAGTCTATGATGAGGGAAATTTTGCTTTAAATGCTCAAAATTTCGCCTCGTCTGACAGAATGTTCTTCGGGACCAAGTTCGGTAAGGAGTGTCGGGTTTAACGGCAGCTCCCTCAGCGGGACGAATGTTCAAATGAGGACAGAGAGTTCAAATTTTCTTTATTGGCATTTCGCAAACATACACGCTGTTAGACAAAAATAAATAAATACTTACACATTTTAATAAATAAAAGGAACGCCTACTCAAATACGTTTATCAGCTAAAAATATAGTTTAAAGTTCAAATCTTTTTATTATTTTTTAATCATTTTGTTACTGACTATTCTATTAAGCAAAAAACAGTTATCGCCTAGATGTCAAAATTAGATTTAAAACAGTGTACATAAGCGTCACTTTTAAACGGAAATTTGAATTTCTAGTTTTCATTTTCAGTTTTAACTGTAAATATGTGTCTAAATGTATATTTAAAATTAGATTATATTTCAATTAAATATTTAATAGCAGTAATAATTCATCCAAAAAACACCACGAACTCGACAGATCCAGAAATATTAACAAAGATAACAAAGACTAGTACCTGAAAATTGCATTACGCATGAAACAACGAGTCGTACTGTCGGCGTGGGGTATTGTGTATTTTTAGTAATATATAATAAATAGTTCTGTTATTTAGCATTAAGCACTGTTTTTCTTACAGCAAAGGATATATGTATCTCTGTGTGTAAACACATACACGTATATTTATTTATAAGTATTCATTTAATTATATATATATATATATATATATTGTTATTGAATATATATATATATTTATATATTTATATATATATATATATTTATTTTGTTATTGAATATATATATATATATATATATATATATATATATATATATATATATATATATATATATATATATTCAATAACAAATAATGGCTCGAATATATTTCCAAGAAAAATACAATGGATAATAGGTGTGCATTAATTTCATTTGATAGTGCAAATACTCTGCTAAACAAAATATTTAGGTATATACATTATCAGTAGTCAATTCGATTTCGGGAACCTTCATTTGATCTATTGGCAGCTTTTATGGTGTGTGATATTCGTAATTTGCAAATCAATCTTTGAAAACAATTCCAGATTCTCATTTAATTGTTTTGATTTGTAGTTTTAATATATGTTAAAACAAAAAACAGAAGAATTCACTG